ATGCCCGGAATTGCGGGAGGTAGTATGATGTAAGTGAAATTTTTTTTTTGTTGCACTACTTATGATTGCCAGTGTAACGATCTCAGATAACGGATATATTTTCGGAAGTCAAATCCGGTTCAGAAGCATCACTACCGTGCGGATTAAAAACTTGTCGGAATCGTTCCTTTGATTTGATTTAGCCCGGACTTTTTTTGTGCCGATTTAGACTCGGAGGGACCCTGAAAGGCCGGGTCAAACATGCATGTGGATCATTTTACCCGTTTTGAATATCATGATATCGATATAGATCATCATATAAATTAAACTATATAACTAGTTTAACTCATTCAAACACAGAACTAAGTTCGGTTCAAAGATTAATTAAATAATTTAAGTCCACGTCTAAACTTGGTCTAAACTTGTTACTGTATGAACTGGGTTCGCTTAAACAACTTAACAACCCTACCGCTATCGAAATGAATCATTGAGCAAAGAATGGCTTATCATTATCAAAATCTGCGTTCATATGGTCATACAGTACTTTTTTTTACGCGAATTTCAAAACGTTCACATTCTCTTCACGTTATACTGCCATAAATGGAACTCTATCTACTATGTGGAAAATTATTTTCTCTTTACTCTTTCTCCTTTTAGTTATCTGTTAAAAATCACTCCTTGTTTTCACGTTCTATTGTATAATCGTTCTTTTTTTTCATTTGACCATAAAAGCTATCCCTTTGCAACAGCATCTCTTCGCTAAAGTTTAAATTGGCACATGAAAATCATCTTATGATTTACAGTTAAATTCGCCTCAAATGAAAACTGAAAAAGTAAATTTCAAGAACAAAACCCGTTATACGAATAAGATTTTAAAACAACTAATTTTTTTTTGGTTGAATCATAATAAATTATTCCATATTTGTAAGCGCGTTTAGCAATTAACGTTAACAGTGTAATCTTATATATATATGCTTTAGATAATATATATATCCATTATTCCCTTTTTTTTTTTTTTTCTCCTGTATCGGTGTTGATAAGTATTCTAAGCTCTAAAAAAAATGCCTCAAACTGAAGAAGAAATATTTCAAGAATTTAAGTCAGCTGCGGATCAATATAATGAAGATTCGTATCATTTAAAGGATTTATGGTATTCAGATGGAACTATTCAAGAAATTAGGACTGCTAAACACCAAATTAAGATTGCTCCAAAGCATCCACATTTTCATAATGTGGTTGTCTCATTCCAGGCTGCTCTTGATGCTTTCCTTACTCTCTTGACTGACTGGACTTTACCATTTACTCATCCTTTAAATTGGCTATATTTAATCTTTGTCTACCCGATCGTATTATTTAGTTTTGCTATTTTTGAATTATCTTTGATTATCATTCATACTGTTCACTTGGACGCTTTGGTTAAGTTTATTGATGAAAAATGGAGAGAATACTTAACTCCTGTAGAATTATGTATGAACTTATTTTGTTTACGTTAACTTATTTTATTTAGGGTTCGTATCATTTCGCCGATAATCACAAATTAAGTGTCAATAAATTGTTTTATAAAAACCAAGCTAATGTGATTGTCGGTGGTGTGATTGAACTCCCTTTATTTAATGACTAATTTGTATTACGTGTCCAATTCACCTATTTTATTAGTTGATTCCGATTTTTATAATCAACCACAGAATGGTTTTATTGCTGAAGATGGCGTTGACGCGTTGGATCAACCGTACTTTAAAGAGGATGAAGAAATTGTTGAAAAGCATCCTGATTTTAATCTTGACATTGCTCAATTCCTTCTTTACATGTCTGATCTCGTATATAGCCGTGAATCTGATAAAGCATTGAGCGCAAAATTAAATGTATATCGCTTTAAAAAGGCTCCTGAAAAACGTGATGAATTAATACAGGAGATCGTCGGTTTATTACGTGAAAGCGATGATACTATTAGAAATCAAGCAAAAAAATGGCATTTGACTTTCACTTCCTTGACTGAACTTAATTCTTGCGGTGATTCTTTCGCTGGATTATTTTACTCGGAAAAACATAACTTCATTGTGGTCGCTTTTAAAGGTCCAACCTCTGATGATTTTGAAAAATGGTTTACTGATTTAGTCTTCCAACATGAAGATGGTCGATCTTTTATTCGTAATGAAGTTCATAAAAGTTACCGCAGTTTATTATACCCTGAGAATAAAACTGGTCCTTATGCTACTATTATCGATGGAATTCATCATGCTATCAAGAATATTCGTCATTACCGTGACCAAGGTACCAGGAAACATAAATTAATCAATATTTGGGTTACTGGCCATTCTTTAGGTGGTGCGATGGCCACCTGGTTCTACGGGCGAGTTAAGAAATCCCCTTCTGATTTGGGTGAACACTGTGTTTTACGAGATGCCTACGTGTTTGGTGCTCCGCGAGTTGGTGATTCCGATTTCGTGTTGACGTACAAATCTTCGCTAGGCAGGCATGAAAAAAATGTAGAAAGTGCTTTATGGTAATATAAATTTTTTACTCTTGTTTTTTCTTTTTTCGAAATAATGTTAATAAATTTTTAACCCCTTAAACATATACCGGTATATATATATATATAATGTTCAAAGGCGCGTAGTGGATGACAACGACTTGTTAGCTCATCTACCACCAGGCTATCGTTATCCTAAAAATGTAGGAAAATATAATATTTTAACTAATTACTCCGTCGGAGAAGCTGTCAAATTCTATCAAGACGGAAGAAAACCAAAACTCTTGAAAAATCCGATTCTTGAGCCTGGATATGTTCCTGTAATTAAGAGTTCAAGACCTCTTGATGGTGATAAATATACTGTCCCTACTCATGAATATGACAAATCCCTTCCATCTTTCATTCGCAATCACATGACCTCGCGATATGCACTTGCGTTGGCTCAGGCAAGGAATCATTTGAGTGAAAGAGGAGGTTCCGGAACCAAAGGCTTCAATGGAGAAATTATTTTGGAACGTGAAAAATAATAACATATCAAAGGCATACTAAGTAAATGTTAATTTTAAATATGTATGTAATATGATATCTTTTTTATTACATAATATATAGAATACTTTTTAAAATTCATATGTTAAGAATCAAAGTATCTAAAGAAAATCAAAAGGGATTTCTTTATAGACTTTCGCTGTGTATGCAATAAAAGGAAAATATGTATTTTGAAGTATATATTTTTGTTTAGCAAAAAAAAAATCCGATTACACGTAAATAAAGTATCCAATGAATCAATTCTAACACAGGAATCGAAATTAAAGTCTAATTTCATTACATGTAAATACTCATTATCTTGAGCATTTACACATTATTTCAAGTATGTCTATATACGTTATTTCGAGGCCCGGTTCTCTGAGCTATATTATGCAAGTGTGCTATTTCGAAAATTAAGTATGATCGTTATTTCGTGGTATGAAATTTACATACTGCAACTATTTTATCTAGAGATAAGGAGCATAGCGGAAGTTCATTTTGATTGGTTGTTAAAATACCCCGGAAAAATGTAGATCATTCCCGGATAAAGTATCGGCTATACCCCGGATGAAATTTTATTACTCACGAAACTTTCAAAAGACTGGTCAAATACTTTCTAAAGGCGCGTATTG